AAATAAAGAACTCTAAAGGATTGCACATCAGGATTAAAAGAAATAAACTGCAAATTAACCACTATTTTACATACATTTATGTGGTTAGTTGAAGGGCTATTTGCACTAGGTTTCCTATCTGATTACCTATAGCTAGCATAATTAGATCATTACATTAAACACATGCTATTATGTAAATCTAGAATATAATCTAGAAATCCAAAATAGTTCGTGGTTCTCTGCTAATTAAAGAATGCTAAACTGTATGTCTGTAAACTAACTGCAGTCTACATAAAATTATTTCTCAGTGGCTTATATCTGGTATCTGTTAATCTCATGTTCTGTTTTTACTGAATCAGAGATAGTAGGAACTGCAGATGCTGGAGAATCCGAGACAACAAGGTGCAGGGCTGGATGAACACAGCAGGCCAAGCAGCATCATAGGAGCAGAGAGGTTAAGTCTTGGGTTTTGTTTTGTTTCCCGGAATTATTTGTATCCCTGCAGTTGGTCAACCAAAAAGGCACATGCCAAATGCGATGGTGACAATATTCCAGCCAATGAAGTGGAATCACACGTTGTATTCACAATGACAAAGTCAAGCTGCTTATTTTGTTGCCTAAAAGTCCACTTACTTTTATTGCAGTTGCTATTCTGAAATAGTCAGCCTGGAGCATGCTGACCAGCTTTATCTTAAGGAGGTTAGACAGAATATGAACAAAAATCTTAGACCCATTTCTAAATAGAGCAATAATAAAAGTTAAACTATGACACAACTTTTTTTTACTGAGCGCACATGTTTACTTGGTTTAAATGGCAAGAACAAAATTACTTTATCTCCATAATACCAGGAGCTATTTGTTGTCTCTCAGTAAACTGACTCTAAAATAGTTGTTTCTAATATGATCCGTTTCTCTTTTCCTCTTATTTCAAAGTTAAATATGCATTATAAAAAAAATCACTGACAAATGTGAACAGAATGTGAATAAACACTGAACCCTGAGAAAGCAAAACTTTGCTATTAAAAAGGGTTTTGTTCTAATGGCCATGTGACAGCTTGCCAGTGTTGTGCTTTTTATGTCAAACACTTCAAATCATTTTAACTTCTTGTTTTGCTGTGTGTAATAAAACTTAGCTGTTGCCATTCAAGTACTTGGTAGGTTATAGCAGGGTTAATACAGGCCGTTTACCTTGTGATGATACAAAAACCACATCAACATAGGTTTTGCTAAGCATTTTCTCATCTGAAAGGCATGTTTCAACATGTATTTCTCCTAGCCCTTTCCATTGGACAGGCCACCTCCTCCATTTGGTTTGTGGGACGGACTCTGAGGCACACTTGAATAATTGCATGTTTCAGGTGAAAAATGTTGACTTTTAGTGATGGGTTACTGATGATTTCACTGACAGGATTCTTTTTAACACTGCATTCAAACACCAACACCTCCAGTGTTGGAATTGAATCAGTTTGTTTTTTGTTGAGGCTGTCAGTTAACACGGTTTGCTTTTAGACCTTTCGCGAAGCAAGTAAGGAATTTGTGTCCTAGTGGCATAGACCCTGACTGGGCAGAAAGTTGAAAAATGAGGAGTCCTATGGCTATTATTCCATTGCAAGAGCTGAACACTTGCAATTGGATGTAACCTCTCTCCTTTTTTAAAGGCACTTCAACAATAACTGTTTACTTTTCTCAACTTGTATATGGTAGTGAAGTTCAGCCTTGCGATACTTTAACAGCAGGCTTCTGAATTGAAGTGACATGAGGTACAAGCAAATGATCAATAAGGCAATTGAAACAGGACCACACTCTAAGGATGATGGACCTTTTAATTTGATCCTGATCAAAGGGTTCCTATTCTCTTAACTTAGGCTGTTTTAGTTTTAAATAGAAGTTGACCCTTGAGCACCATGTCAAGCTTGAGTGTTACTATATTGGAAGTAAATGCAACTCGAGCGCTAGTGAGACTAAATCAATGGAAAATTATTCTGCACTTGAAGAAAAATACCAAATGTACTTTTTTAAAATAGAAGTTTTCCAAAGCAGTAAACTTTCAACTTTAGGCCAGAAAACAACGCAAATTTAGGTAGAAAATCTGGGGAATAATTTAGAAAATATATGGGGGAAGAAGCAATGTTCGGAGTTAACTTGCGAAACCCAGGAGAAGTGAGCAAGATCTTTTCCTCATACAGTCTGATTCAAGTCAGCTGACTGACAGTGGCTTCAACATAATGACTTGTTAATCTGAGGGTTGGCCTCCTAGAGGTCTTCATAATTACGGAAAGTATTAATATTCCAGCTGTAAACATGAGTTTTCTCCTTTTGGGGGGTTCTAATGGCCAAAATATAGATCCAGTCAGAAATTTGGGAGAAATGTCTTTAGGCAGTAATTGCACCGAGGAGGATTTCATAAGAGAAATGATTGGAGTGATTATAGACTTAATGAGAAGATAGATAAACACAAGTGAGGAATGACAACAGCGAACCAAGACTGTGTGCAATTTTACACCATTAGTAATCCTCCTCAAGCTGCTGGGTCAAAACTCTCAAATGCTTCCCTTTTAATATTACTGTGGATGCATCTTCCTCACACAGATTGCAGCAGTGCAAGAAGGCAGTTCACCAAGCAAAATAATAAATGCTGGTCTTAAGTGATGTCCCATGAATGATTAAATAGCCTCTTGTGCAAAGCAAAATGTCTCCAACAGCAGCAAGTTGAATTACCAGTTAATGTATTTCAGATGATGGTGGAAGGTTTTGGCTTATCCTAGCCTATTTTAAATAGGATTTGCATGCATCACTTCAAAAGGCAGATGTAATATTCCCCTTCATACCGACAGAGTACTGGTCTGCTTTAAACCCTCAATGCTCCGAGTGGCAGTTCATCCATACCTTTCTGACACCCAAGGTGAGATTTTCATCAATTGAGCCATGCTGTGTATTTATATTCAATTGTTCCTTATATCAAAGCAGCAGTTTAAATTTTACGCATATACCATCTGGAACTAAGTGCATTATATTAACTATTGTATTTTCTACCTAAAATGCATTTGTTTTCCTCGGAGTGCAAGTTGGTAGTGAAACTGTTTGTAAACAAACCA